CCGGGGGGGGCGGGGGCCGGGGCGGGGGGGCCTCCGGCTGCCGTGCTGCATGCTGCAGGCTCTGCCTTTCACGACCCCGGGCGACAGCCAGGCCCCGCTCCTCAGAGACACTGGCAACAACCTCTTAGTCGATTTCTGTTTTCTTCTCATCTTTTCGCTTTTTGTTTCTACCAGGGTAGAGGCTGTGTTGAATTGGCCTCTTTTCAGGACTTTTAATTCCCCCCTGGATGATTGTTGGGAGGGAGGGCGAGTTTTTTCTGAATGGCTATTAATAGTATTAGATCATTACAACTTACATAATTTTCAAAGGTTGTACGATTATACACAAAAAGGCGAAGAAACCATAGGGTGACACGGCCCTTTAAATAAACCGGCGTTGGAGTGTCTCACCCGCTAGTATTTTCCTTAGACTCACTCGTGCTGCCCACCTGCCCTGCCCTGCCCTGCCCTACCCTGGGAGGGGCCCCGGGTGGCCTCTGCTTTACAGATTCCCGTGGACTGGGCCGCAGCAGAGTCCCCAGGGGATGGGGGTGGAGCCGGCCTGGGCTGGGAGCCCAGGGAGGCATGGTGCCTCCTGCTGCCTGGCGGGCTCTTCCTCCCTGGAGCTGTCACCTCTGCTGGCGCTCTGTCTGTGGGCCCCGGAGCTGTCACCTCTGCAGGAGCTCTGTCTGTGGGCTCATCTTTATTGATGCTGAGGCCCGCCGGGGGCTGGCTGCTGAAGCCCTCTGGTTGAGGGACAGGTCTGTCACCAGCCTTTCCCGTGCATCTTACGGCAGAGACGTGTTTTCAAGGGGAATCGTTCCCCAGAAAGGGTTTAGCTTGTTCCCCCTCTTTGTGCCAGTATCCATGTGGCCTCACCCAGCAGGGCACACGTAGTTGTGCCCAACTCTATCTTTCTGTGATCTCTGGCACAGCAGGGTGGGAGTTCACTGGCCCGCCCCAGGGTGCTGGCCTTCCTGGCTCAGAGCCAGGCTTGCACGAGATCAGTTGTGCCCAGCAGCTGCCCTGCAGGTGGAGTCTGCTCCCCATTACGGGGTCCAGCTGGTGGAGGTCTGGGAGTCTGAGACCAGTGAAGCCTGGGTCCGTGGCCCCGGCTCTTGCTGGAAGGGGCCAGCCGGAGGAGAGGACCAGCCTTGCACATCAAGTGCAGGGAGTGGGTGGTGTGCCCACGTCCCACTGTCCGAACCTGGTCCTGTGGGCCTTTGACCCTTGACTTGTGACCTCAGGGTGCCTGTGGCTTTGCTCACTGCCCCACTCGGAGCCTGGCAGAGCTGTCTGCACTCGGCAGTGCCTCTTTGGCCTCCTGGAGAATGACAGGGAGATGGGTGACTGTGGTGGGGAAGCTCGCATACTTTGGCCTCCAGCCAGCATTTCCCAGGTACTATGGAAGCGTAAAACTCGCGTCATCCTGAAGACAGGCCAGCTGTGACTCGGGGGAGGTCAGGGCTGGCCGCAGGTGCCCTTCCCTCCCTCAATTTGTCTCCTCCTGTCGCCCTCCAGCAGGGGAGGCACTGTGGGGTGGACTAGGAGAACAAGTCAGGAATCTAGCAAGTGCACCCCGAACTGGACAGTGGGGAACCTGTCGGGAGCCAGGAGGGTGCCTGCTGCGGCCCCCAGGTGGCATGAGTGCCACGCGGGTTGTGGGATACCTGGAGCCCGCAGCCTTTACCTCGCCGCCGAGTTCTCTCTGCTCTGCCTGGCTCGGGCCTGAGCTGCACCTCTGCACCCCGAGTCACCCCTGGGCATTTTCAGGACTCGTGTTCTTTATCTGCATCCACTGTGGCCCCGACCCAGAAGCTGCAGGGGTTCGATGCCCAGCCCGGGGCCTGTACGGCGCCCCTGTGCACGTGATCAGGGACATGGGGAAGGCCGCAGAAGCTTCCTGCCCTGCAGAGGGCAGAAGACGAAGGAAGACACTGTTCTCATGAATTCACCATATCTCTTTGTTTTTCTTCAGAGAAAGGTTAACTGAGGCAATGTCGTCTGCTCAGAGTTGAGTGGTTTATTAAAAACAAACTGTAAGTTTCTGATTATAAAAATGTGTCGAGTATTTTTCCAATGGGTTCGAGTAGCCTCCAGAGTCCCTGGGGGCCTGACCAGTGAACGCGACGCGGTGAGGGCGTCCGTGGGTCAGTCCCTGTGGAGGGCGGGGAGTTCGCTGGTAGTTCAGGCTGTCCCTCCCTGGGTGAGGGCCGAACCACTCCCACCACTGGCAGACCCACACTGGTGTACGTGCTGGGGTGCCAGTACGAAGGCCTCTGTCTCCGGTGTGTGTGTCCAAGGCAAGAACCTCTAAAAAAGGACAACTAAGAGCAGAGACTCGGAGTATTTGGAGTCTGATCCCAGGGGTCAAGGACAAGAGATGGGTGTGGGTTTGGACCAGGGCTCCACATTTGGGGTACCAGGAGTGGCAGCTGGGTAAAGCGAAGGCTCCAGAGCTGTGGGAGCATGGATGGGACTGAAGGCCAGACGAGACCACGTGTCGGCCTGAGCTCCTAGCCTCCGAAGCCATTGGCACGTGGGCACAGCACCGTGTCAGAGATGCAGGGCTGCACCCAGCAGGTGCCTCCAGTCCCTGGGGACACTGAATCAAGCTAGTGAACGTTCCTACTGTGACAACAAGGCCGGGGCACCCCTGCAGACCAGTGAGTGGGGTACCACGGCCTCGGGACGCCAAAAAGGAACAAGAGACAACACGTTCTAGCCAAGTCTGGATAGAGTCCCCACGTCACCCCAGGGGTCCGTGCAGCAAGCGCCTGAACAGCACCTGTGCGCAGGACTCTGTTTTGGGCACTGAGGACATGGCCTTCAAGCAACAAGGCAGACGAGACAAGGTTCTGCCTTCAGACAGTCACACTCATGGCGATTAAAGTCATACCCACGTGGCCTTCAGAGCGGCCCTGTGAGGTCAGTGCTGTCACCAGCCTGCCACAGCTCTTCGTAAATGGCTGTCAGGAACTAGAAAATCCAGGTTGGCCCCATGGCCTGGTGGTTAAGGCAGCCAGATCCCGAGTGGCCAACGGTGATTCAAGTCCTAGACCTGGTATAGTAAATACAGGGGTCGGGGCCAGCAGGTGGCGTGGTGGTTAAGGACACTGGGCTCCCACATGGCCACCCACAGTTCAAGTCCTGGACTGGCGGCTTGCTTTCTCTTTCTCTGTCCCTCTCTGGTCAAATTAAGATAAAATGAAATAGATAAAGTTAAAATAAAAAATAATTATTTAAAAAAAGAAAAAAACACTGGAGGCCAACAGTTAGTGTGGAGGTTAAGATGCTGGATCCTACATGGCAGGCTGCATGGTTCCCTAGATCTGGTGGTTTGAGAAATAGGTACGCATATGCGCATGCCCAACTCCTGAGAGAGGGGAGTGCGGTGTGGTTATTGGGGTGGGGGATTTCTCACTCCCGAGTACCCACGCCCTGCAGTAAACACTTAAAAAAAAAAACAAAAAAAACTTTGGGAGTGTATGCATGCACAAAATCCTGAAGAGACATGGAAAAGGGATTGAAGTGTGACCATGCCCCATGGGGATGATTTCTGTTTCTCTCTGTGAGTGTGCGCACATGCACACAACTCTTTTTCAGCTAGAAAGTTCACCTTTTGTACAGATTAGAACAGATTTGGCAAGACACAGAGACAGAAAGTGAGAAATCACCCCCCGGGGGGGATAGTCATGCTGCAATCCCTTCTCCTCCATTCTCCTCTTGGGATCTTGGGCCCACACGCACACGCACCTGGTGTGAGTTTAAGCCACCGGGTCCAGGACTCAAACTGCAGTCGACTACATGGGAGTCCAGCGACAGAGCCATTGTGGCAACTGCTAATCCCTTGGGGCAGTGATTCCGGGTTACTAAAATGGGATTGCCATGGCAACCAAGGGACCTAAGCTGGTGGGAGGCTGAGATTCAGATTTATGGTGTGGCTATGTGGGTCTGAGCAGCAGGAGGCAAGGAACAGGTGAGGCTGCGTCCCCAGGTGCCTGCCTCGGTGTCCCCAGAAGCTCCCCGTGCACAGCAGGTGGCACAGGACACAGGTAATAAGGACGTGGAAAGATGGTCAGGAGAGTAAGCTAAGGAAACCGAGGATTTGATGGTGAGCTCATCAGTGTCCCAGGGGCTGGGGATATACAGGTAGTTTCAACATGGCTTCGCTGGTGCCGGAAATCCAAGAGCGCCCGAGTCTCCGGATTGGTATTGCTCACACTGGGAGATTCCTGTGGTTTTGGGCATCTGACATGTTCCTACTGTACTACTGAACCCAGAAACGGACAGGCCTCTGATCTAACCGAGGTGGGTTAGCGCCAAGCTGCAGAACATTTGAGCAGTTCTAAACTGGTTATGGCATTTTCATCTATTCGAAACTATTTTCCTCCGGAGCGATTACATTCTCTTGGCATTCATGGCAGGGGACAGAAGAGACAGGGCCCCCGCCTCTGCCTCTGCGCAGAGTCCAGGCCTGCCCCGTGTCTCAAGAGCCGCCAGTTTCCACCCCACCTGAGCGCCCCGACTGCGTCTCGCTCTGTCCCACCCCGCACATCAGCGAGCTGCTTCCTGGCGGCTACTCCTGCAGGACTCCCGGGCGGATGGGGACC